GTGTGGGAGATTCAAATCACCGGAAGAAAGCACCTATAGAATCGTTGGTATAATGGTCAGAAAGAGCTGTTCACAATCTGTTTGCATAATTTACGTCAGTCATTTGACGAATCTTGTGAATGGCGATCAAAATCAGTTGTTATTCCAAAAAAATCAAAGATGCCAAGAGCAAGATCATTGAAGAAGATCAGTATATGGCATTTCGTGAGATAGAAGCTTCACTTGACATTTCACAGAGTGCAAATACATTTGATTTTGCATAAAGATAAATGTCTCCGAACCGGATATGATAATGTCAGAACAGACAATTCCGCTTTTTGCTTCGATAAGTTTTTTGGGGGTTAAAACAGACACCAATATGTGTTGGCACAATCGTAAAGTTGGAATTGCAAATCTGCATTTCAGAAATTTGGAACAATGTTCCAAATTGGAACTGTTCATGTTTTATGCTTTATGAAGCTCAGATCAGACCTTCTTTCTTTGGAGTATTGTTCACATGTACGCCACTAAGCATATCCTGAAGCTGCTGGATTCCATCTAGAAAAAAAGCAATCCGCCTGATTGGAGATACGAACAGCAGTTGCAACCTTGATAGTCTGGAACATCGAAGAAAGGTTGGAGATTTGTCCCTCTTTCTAAGACATTTTCACGGGAGGTGTTCAAATGATTTGACACACATGAACAGCTCCCGGTACATACAAAAAATACGCGACGGACTATTGCTGCTCATAGTTTTGAGGTTCAACTCAGTACACCCCGAACTTCACTTTTTCAGAATTCTTTCATCTGGAGAACTGCGTATATGCGGAATAAACTTCCTGAGAACGTTTTTCCAAATGAATTTAATCTCAGATGATTCAAATCTAAGGTGAACAGGCACCGCTATTAGAGCGCCTTGAGGATTTTCCTGTAGTGCTTGTGCATTTTCCTTAAAAATAAGTATACCTGCACATGAATGACGCTCAAAAAAAGCCTTTGTGAACAAATGGAATGGAACTTGGACACTGAAAAACAATGCTGCCGGTGACGAAACGTGAATATATGGGTTAGAACCGGAAACTGAGCAATAATCCACTCCTTATATATTACCTAAAGATCCAAATTCCATAAAATTACAATTACTTTTCAATGTCTGTTTACTACTATATGTATAATTAATACGAATGTGTGAATTACGAACTATATACGAAAAAAGTGATTTACGTAAAATTCAATTTCGGGAAAAATAGGTTTTGACTTTTTACTTTTCCATGATCATACAAGAAATGTGGAAAACTTCCGAAGGAACAAAGAAAGCAATAAATTTCAACTCTCAAGACAAACTGGAAGAAAAAGTTCCATCGAACTTTCATATGAACATTGAATAACAAGAAAGAAAAATACTTTCATAACAACTACTTTTATAATATGAACACCGAATTATACAAAACAGTTTTTCCTGTATGTACTCCAAACATTCGTTATAGAATTGAATCAGATATCATTCACAGTATCGCTACACAATATAGTATATGAGATGAAATTTCCCTTACAAGGAACAGTGTGATTCTCAATGGCGGACATCGATGTTTCGGAATAAGACAATTGACTTATTGCCTCTCCAGCACCAATATGAACAACATCACAAGAATTACAATAGATAGATAGTTAAATTTTTTCTTCCGGTTCGTATCGGAAAGAAACTTCTTCACACGTTCTATTAATCTTCGTTCCAACTTTTTTCATATTGATGAAAAAGCTAAAAAACAAAAACTTTTCTCTCAATTCTATTCTACACTTGATTGTGGGAATAATTTTCAAGAAATTTCATTCTGAATTTTAGAACAGTTATCCCAAATGGGACTAGGGGTCATAATCAATTTCTAAAAATTTCCAAATTTTATACCGACTTTTTTGTTCACCCTATAGGTACATTATCTTTCTTACCTCAATCCGATTCAAGGCTAACTCGATGATTCCTTTAGTAGACAACTTCTTGAAATATTCATTCCACTCGGCAGGGAATTCCTTTAATATTTCTTTCACCAACACATGAGTATTACTATAGTTATATAGCCACTGGTTTGTTTTTAAAAATTCTAGGGAGTCTTTGAAGTATCCGGTGGCTGTGGTGTAAGATGGTGGTAAAGACATTTCCTGTAAAATGTTGTGGTCCCAGTCAGTAATTTTTTTTCATTTCCTCAAAAGGGAATTGACGAATACAAAATAACGGTCACAGAGCAGAATATTGTAACGAGTCGCCCCTGGCGATCAACGTAACTAGATTACAGCATAGGTAACAATTAGCAATGTCACTTCGCTTGGCGAGAGAAGTTCGCGCATATCCGTCGCGTTGATGAGTCCGCCATTTTGGGAAGTGACAGACTTTCTCATTCTGCTTTTGGCATTGCTCTTGTTAAGACGTATATGTTACCTGTGTTCTGTGCTTATCGTGAATTTTAACTTTTAACATAATGGAAAAACGAATAGGTGGTAGACACGTTTGTACTGTAAATAGTTGTAAAAGTAACAGTTCCACTAAGTTGATATCTGTTTTCATAGAGCCTAGCTATTAACTTTTTTGTAAACAGTAACATTGCTATTGTAGAAATACTTAATGCTTTCACAACAGAATTTCTTCATTGTCTTGATTCCTTTAGGATATAATCTCTCAAATAATGCTTTTCACAGGAGGTGCTGTGAGAGAAATATATTTTTCATAGCCATT